TACTTCCTGATAGAAAGCTTTTTTTCTTTTGGTGTATGTTGAGGGTGATATTTGACCGTAGAAAGGCAACAAGCCCCAGAATATTTTTCTCCTAGTTTCCCCCATGTGTCAAGATACACCATGTAAAATTTTAAAGTTATTTGACCATGTATACAGTTACAGTACCTTAATATTTACAGTTACATAATTTCGCAAATAGCTTTTCTTAAAAAATGGTGTTTTTTGGGCCCTGAGACCAAACAGGGCCGAGTTGGGGTTGGTCCCTATCAACTCGTGATGGCCCAAGATATAAGATAACAGGAAATAATAGTGAAAAAAGGTAGCAAAAAACATCCTGAGGTTTGAACCTGACTCCTGGCTTAATTGGCAGCGGTGGACTGATATCACCTAGCAACTATCTTACCGGCAAAGTAAAATTCCGCTGCTGCTGAGAAAATAGTCCCTCAACATGTGACGATTCATGCGAAGCAAGGTTGCTTCGGGTGTTTTGTGGAGTGGGTAAGACTGTTTTTAGTGGCAGGATAACTATGGCCATTGACACTAGCCTAGCACCAGCGACCTCTGCAAATACAAGGACTGGATGGAATATTTTTAAAACTGTCTCCACAGATCTCCAACTCTGACTAACTAGGAAATGAGGTCCTATGTCCAAAATTTAGGACTCCCTTTAAACTTTAAGGTTTCTACAGTGTTGTTACGTCGAATGAATCTGAATGTATAGAACAGAAAGTGCAATTTGAATAAGTAGTGTCTTTATTTCACTTAAATCTAATCTTAAACCTCTTCATATCTTTCAAAATGTTCTCGAATCATCCTTAATACTACCACCGTGAACTCTCACAGCTGGAAAATAAATGAATAGTCTTCTTACTGAATTTTAGGTCACATTTAAAGAGGTTATTTTACCATTTATTCTGACTGATGTTTTGTCAGGCTAAATTACCCACTTTCTCATTTGAGCTCATTATTATTAAATCACTAGTGCACGCAGTTATAAAAGAAGATATCAGTTCATTCAGCATTTATTTGGGTGAGTTTAAATACAAGTTACAAAAATGTTCAATACACTTTTGAAAAATTTGGAGTGGCCTTTTTGCTAATAGCTCTTCCTCTCAATCAGGCTTTCGCTCATGCTTCATTCAAGGCAGTTCTCCACATGAGCACTGGCGATAAGGGCCCAGTCCACTCTAGAGAGAAACTACAAAATGGTGCAATTTCATTTTCCTTAAAACAATGATTTCTATTTGTGGAGTTAAGCCATATGAAAAGGTCCGTGCTCAACCATCCGATTCTTGGACATAATCTTTGCCTGCAAGAGGAAATACAAATCACTTATTTAGGAGCAAGATAACGAAAAGTGTTTTGTTTTAATTAGGCGCCAAGCCAACCGGACTCAAGCGTGTTTGGTAGTTTTCTATTCAAGACTCCATTTGGTAGATGACTGACACATAACGTTATAATCCCAGCTGAGCAGACTAACAATGCATCTGGTTTCTCACAAGAACCACGATCTTCATTTCATTTTGGGTAATAACGACAGGAATTTAGCCACTTAGACCAGATGCCCTTCCAGATTCAACCCTCTATAACTACCGTAATTTCCGGACTATAAGTCAGTACTTTTTCTCACATTTTGAACCCTGCAGTTAATAAAACGATCTGGCTAATATATGGATGAATTCTTTGTTTGGCACATTGTCCATTCATATATACAGTCTATGATTTGGCAACACAGTGGATGCGTGCAGCCTTCAGTGCAAAAATGCCACAAATAGTTTATCACCATCTGATAAAATAAGTTATGATGCTAAATTAACATTAGTGAGGGGGGTATGTCTTACCTGTATGCGTAAATGATGAGTAGAAACATATCAAACTTCAGTAGCCGGACATTTACTCATACTTGATGGATAAAAATAACCTAGCTCCCGAGAGAGCCTGAAATCTGCTGAAATCCTCCAAGACACTGACATGATACAGACAGGACAGAGGCTCTTGCAGGAGACATGCGCAGTAGAGCCCAGGGAGAGACAGGGTTGATACACTGAGAAAGATGCTCATTACTTTGCACTTCATACTGTCAGCTTACTCCTGGAGGCAACCTGAACAGAGTCTTTAAAAAAGAGTCTTGGAGAGTTAAAACAGTTCTCTTTACTGGTTCAGGCAGGTACGCATCTCTTCACATCGTCCCTCGACAACGTCCCCTTAGACGACATCCCCCATTTGAGTATTCACAGAAAACAGGTGCCTTTATACTAGTATAACTTGTTGTTAGCATTTTCTGCAGAAACATACACAGCAATTTTGACCCAACACGTGTGCGATACATATTATCATGAATGGTATAGGTTAAAGGTTCAGACTCATCCCTTTGCTGTCTCATAACACTCAAAGTCCATACGACATCATATCCCAACCCCACTGACACTCCAAGGTCCAAACATAACACATTACATCAAGGAACACAGTGACTTCTATATTGCATGGTGAATTAACATGAATGAAACATTAAAAACACAGAGAATAAGTCCACAATACACACACCCTCCTTATGGAAAATACATGAAGAAATGCAGATGATGCAGCTTTTAAGTTAATGGCAATTGACGTGGCTGTGTAAGAAGGAAACAGCTGCTGCACGTGAGCTCCACATCAGTGAGTCAATGGTGAGATTTTGGCAACGGCGGCGTGACGAACTGACTCAATGCAAAAAGACAACAAAAGCTTCAGAGGCGATAAAAGCAGACGGCCTGAACTTGAAAACCTTCTTGAAGACGTGCACACCTGTGGCTTATATTCAGGTGCGGCCTATATATGTAAAAATTTTAAAATTTTGTTAAAATTTATTTGATGCGGCTTATATTCAGGTGCGCTCAATAGTTCGGAAAATACGGTACATGCTTGGAATATGTGATGTAGCAGTAGTTTTCAAGTTAACAGTGTCAGTAAAGACAATTCCAGGCCTGAAATGATCCAAATGATTCTAGTGAAGGTGTATGGAGTTTAAAAACACAGTGGAGCACTTCCTGTATTACCACCTGACATCACAAGGTAGAACAAAGTGTTTAAATCTGAAAGAAGAACTCAGCCTAATATGCAGCGCTTGTGTGTTAAAATGTGTGTGAATTAAACAAAACACAACTCCAGGGATGTTTTTGATGAGGAAACAGCATTATAACATAGATCAGAAAATAGCGTAACATGGGTCCTTTAAGGTAACATTACACATACATTTAGCCTGCTCAGCATATATAAATGCATATAAAAATGATCAGAGCTCTTAAGTGATCACAGTGTTGCTAATTGATAACATGCACAGCTTCAATGAGAGTAATAATCCTAAATGGGATGTAGACCCCAGTACTGGCCCCGTGTGTGTGCAGCCGAGCAGGGAGCATTAGGGCCAGTTATTCCTCATTAAGTGTATGTCCCATTGATTCGTCCAATGGTGCGGTAAATGGAACAGACTTCAGCCAATGACGTACAGGCAACAATCTCCGAGTGACGACAGGCATCAAACACAACACAGACGTTTCATAATAATGATCTCATATGGAAAAAGTAGGGCAGGGGATGTTGTTGTTATTGCATCATGTAATATCTTGGTCTACTGTATATCGACCATTTTTATTAAAGAACCAAAAATTACATCAGGAAGGAAACCGTGCCACAGCACCCTGCCACAATCATTTGAGATTTAAATGGGAAGTGTTTTGTAAATTAAAGGTCCTGTTACACAAATGGGATTTTTGTGAGCTTTAGGCTACGTTTATATGATGAAAGTCTGAACAGAAGACGCAAAAGTGGCATCGCGTCTTCACTTTTTATTCTGCATTTAGACAAGAGTTTTCAGGAGGAAATCTGCTTGTATATGGTGACGCAAAAGTGTGTGGAATTTGATTGGGTATGCTTGTACTTAAAGCAACAAGGGCATCGCTGGACATATGGAATTTTTCACACATTTTCCACAAAGTTATACCACCATCGACTGGTTCACCCCGGTCTCGTCCATAGCCACCTGGCTCGCCTGCGACGAACTGGTGCATCCACAATTTGACACAGGTAATAGCAGATCCTTCTCTGTTCACTAATAGTATCTCTGCATATTCTGTACATTTGTTGGGATGCCTCCTGTGAGTTTATTAGAGCTGCCAAAGTAGCTTGAAGGTTCGACGCATGGAAGTGATCTGACATGTTTGTTTCTGTGTGCTGTATGTGTGTGACATAAACATGTATGCGATGTGAGCAGATCTGAACAGAGTTTGGTGTCTTGAGCAGTGTAGACAGAAACTCTACGGCGGAGTGAATTCAGCTTTTCCTCTCTGGAGGGTGGTTTCGGATTTTTGCTTTTTTAAGCCCCAGAAACACCGTCATCGTCTAGATGAAAGGCACTCCCGGTAAAATATTTTGTCATTTTTACTCACAAGCACACTGAAAAAATGGTCCGAGAGGGGTTGCTCAAATTGCAAAAACAAATTTGACAACAATAACATCACATTTTTACGTTTCTCTGTCCAGCATGTTTAAATCTTACAAACATCGCTTGATTGTGGCCGATGTGAGACCTGCATGTTTTAATCAGGTTGAGGAAACATGACTTTATTATAATTTCTGGTGAGGCTCCTCCCTCTGGAATTCTCCTCCCCAAAACTTTTGGAGGGAAAATTCAAATGTAACAGGACACAGGACAGTTCCAGGAGCAGAGGACACACAGTGTGGAGCAGGAGGATTATGAGAGCTGATCTGGAGGTAAGACTTTTCAAAGATTTTATTATGTGCTTCTCCGGCCTAGAATGTCATCATTGTTAAAACATGTTTGTGTTGTTTTATTTGAAATTAGAGTTAATGTAAGGACAGCTTGAAACAAATTGTTTTTGACTGTCCATCTACAAGAGTGTGACACTTGTACTAAGATTTGAATGTGTTGCTTCCAGAGTCGTCTACAAAGAGTGACGTCCAGAGCTCTGCTGGAGCTGTGGGGAAGTTCATGAATGTTATAGTAGTTGATGTTTCAGAAAAAAGGAAGATGTTTGAGAACCAACAAAACACAGACCACAGATGAACAAAGTAAGTAAACCAACTAAAATTATTCTAATTTTTTTCAAAATGAACTTCCTATTGAAACTGTTATCATACTTGTACAAGGTGATGTGGCACTAGGAGACTTTATACCAGATGCCCTCCCTGTTACTGTGTTTAGAGGAAGAAAAGCAGCACATGGTGAGTTTTGTTTCTGTAGATACAGTTCTAATGTTCTTGTTCTTCTGTTCTGGTCCATTATTGTAGTAATAAGTACTTTAAGTGTATTTAAACATGTACAACAGAGTAGATCATCAGAATGTGATCATCATGTGTTATTCTGTGTCCACAGGCAGAGACCAGAGCTTCTTCACTGGAATAAATCTTCACACTGTCCAGCTCCAAACTGTGTGTCTCTGTCCCTGCGCTCTCTGTGTGTTTGATTCTGTTTAAGACAAAACAGAACTGTGGAAAACTAAAGACTGTTTTTGTATTCTTTTACAGAATTAGATCAATTAAATTAAATTATACATACTTATACATTTCATGATAAGGTACCATAAGATAAATATGCATATTCAGCATGATTTGTTCAGATTTCATCAACATGAAAAAGTGATGTTCATGTTCTGAGAAAAATATGTGTAGAGGGGATCGAAAAAAGTTTCAAAGCCTAAACATAATTTTATTGCGTGCAACCGCTGTCCATAACTTTTTTACGCAAATCCAGCAACTTTTTTTTTTCAGTGCACTGTCGTGTAAACAAGCCCTTAAGCCATGTCATAATGTTGTTACCTCATCAAAAACATACCTGGAGTTGTGTTTTGTTTCATTCACATATGTTTGAGTAACTCTTTATTATTAGTCAGTCTACACCTCCAAAGCTCAAAATGCTGTTCCACCTTGTGATTTTATACGGTGGCAGTTTTCAAGTTAACTACCTTTTATCTTTCATTACAGAGTAACAATTCCAAGTCTGATTTAATTAGTTTAATTTAGTTTAATAGCACACAGGAGCACTTCCTGTATTCCCACATGACATCACAAAGTAGATCAGAGAGTTTTCTGTCTGCGAGACGAACTCAGCCTAAATATTCAGGGTTTGTGTGTTAAATGTGTGAATGAAACAAAACTAGATAAACAGATCAGAAAATAGTGCAATATGGGCACTTTAAAGTATTACAGATATGATCATCACACTCATCAAGAGTTTTGATATAGTGAACAGGTGGTGCCGGTCATATTTAATGCACTGAACTGTTTATGTTTAAAAATTCCAAGATTGTGGCGCTATAAGTAAGAATAAACTACTTGTGGTTTATCTTAAGCTTTTTCTTCCCTTCTCTGTGCCTCTACCACATATTTTAACATGTCTTTATATAATACATGAGGTTCTTTAGGCGAGCGCTGAGCATCGATAAACATGAAACAGCTGCTAACATGCACTAGCTTTATTTTACTAAGTATGTCAGCTCAACATATACGCTGCCATCGCAAGAAACAACAGCAATTTATCAAAAGATTAAGTAAGTGTTTGGTGAGAAATTACTCTTTTCTGTTTATATCGATATATAAACATGACTTATATGAACTCACAAACACAGAGAAAAGGTCTATTCATTCAGGCTGGAGACAGATAAAGAGAATATTGACTTGTGAATTCTTCATGCTCTACATTGGGCCAAACACATTTGTATTGTGCAGCACTTTAGAAGCACTTTCTTCTTCATGAAATGTTATAAAGTGGAGTCCAGAGTTGAGACATATGAAAACTCTCCTTTGAATCACTGTGTCCCCAGGCCCCACGGGCTCGTGAGGCTAAGAGGCCACAGATAGACTTTAAATGAAGGCTCTTCACCTCAGTCCAATCATGTCCTCCTCCTCTGCTCTGCCTGCTCCACACAGATGCAGCTGACACATGGGGCTGGGCTCATCACATAGAATGATTTTTTATGAGGATCCACACACACACACTGCACAATCACTGATGTCCTCTCAAATGGTCTGTGGTGGACGGCTCTCCTGCATGTTTCACTCTCTGGTGATTTCAATAATATATGCTTTCTGTTATGGGTGACATTTTTAGGAGTTTTCACTACTCAAAAGGCAGGATATTTGGTTTTAATTGTTAACTGCTATGGCAACTGTCCTGTTTTAGCCATGAATAAGATGCAGAGAAGAGAATAAATGAGACAGCACAACCGAAACTAATCGCAGTACCTGAACTTCTTGGGTTCTTTTTAAAGACAATACAGTAAAGTGTGTTACCTTGTTGACATGTTTCGGCTGCTGTCACGTCACCACCAACACCGGTGACAGTTCTGAAGATGGCTTGCAGCTAGCAGCCGAAACATGTCAACAAGGTAAACACACTTTACTGTATTGTCTTTAAAAAAAACCAAGAAGTTAAAGTATATAAGGAGACAAAATGACCATCTTTGGCGCAGTACCTTAACCTGCAGGTAGGGAACACATACCTGCTTTTTTTCTTGGTATGTGGGCAGACATTAGCCAGGCTGACGCCACCTAGTGCCTCTGCCCAATGTAATTTATCTCCAGCGACTAGGTCAGGAATCGGAATGGACTAGACAGTTTGCGAAAACCCCGGAAGAGTGAGTTCGGGCACCAGCCAATCAGCGAAGAGCCATACATTCTGTGTTGGCAACGAATTCCAAGATCGAGGATTTAAAGCCGGAACAAAGAGAATGTTTGGTAAATTTTATCAAGAGGAAAGACGTTATTGCCCTTCTTCCTACAAGATTTGGGAAAAACTTATTTTATTTTTTATTTTATTTATTTATTTATTTATTTCATTTATAAAGCATAAAAAGACATCGACAGTGTCACAACATCAAACACACAAGAAATGAATGAAAAGGAGCAGAAAGAAGAAAAAATCTTATGTTATCTGCCCCCCTTTCCTTTTTCAAGACAAAACATCAACACTGATCGTCACTAAACATTCCATATTAGTTCAGGCACAATTACTGATCAATTGCAAACAGTAAATCTTCATTATTATACACAACTTAGTTTTCTTTTTCATACAGACACAGTGCATTAGATTGTATATGTTTTTTAAATGTCATCATTGTACTTGATTCTTTTATTTTCTTGTCAAGACTATTCCATAAAGTGAACTCCTTTCACAGCGACACTTCTCTCCATAACCTTGGTTCTGAATCTGGGTTTTTTAAACATGTAGGTTCCTTTTAAATTGTAGTGGCTTTTTCTCATCTCAAACAGTTTTTGAATATTTACAGGTAATAAATTACACTTTGCTTTATACATGACTTTGAGGATACTTAAGTCAACAATCAATATCCTGCATTTTCAACACTTTAAGTTGAACAAATATTGGGTTGGACGTGGCTCTCTACAATGACTGCTGGTGATAATTCTCAAGGCCCTTTTTTGTAAAATAAATAAAGGTTGTAGGTAAGTTTTACATGTTGAACCCCAAATTTCCACACAGTACATCAGATATGGTACAATTATAGAGTTATACAAAGTTAATAATGCTGTACTATTTAGTGAGAACTTTATTTTATGCAGAACAGCAATGGCTTTGGAAATGTTGCCTTTTTGTGTAATTTATATATGAGACCTCCAATTTAGACCTTCATCAATCATAACTCCTAAAAATTTAGTTTCATTTACTCTTTGAATTTGTATCCCATCTATTTCTAATGTTATGTTGTCTTTTTTCTTTTTATCATTAAATAAAATGAAATTTGTTTTTTTAACATTCATAATCAATCCATTTAAATCAAACCAATATTTTACTTTTCTTAGCTCTTTGTTAACTTTACTTGTGACCTCTTTTATGTCTTTTCCAGAGTAAAATAATGTTGTGTCATCAGCAAATAGAATTTTCCCAAGCTCGGAAACTTTAACAAAATCATTCATATACAATATAAATAATTTGGGCCCAAGAATCGAGCCTTGGGGCACACCCCATTTAATATCATACCTTTCTGATTCGGTGTTGTTGAGTTGCACATATTGTTTTCTGTTTTCTAAATAGCTTGCTATCCACTGATGAGCCACCCCTCGAATGCCATACTTGTTAAACTTCTTAGGTTCTTTTTAAAGACAATGCAGTAAAGTGTATTTACCTTGTTGACATGTTTCGGCTGCTAGCTGCAAGCCATCTTCAGATCTGTCACCGGTGTTGGTGGTGACGTGTCGTATATCAGCTGTTGTTACTTCCTGTAGGTGTGGTCAGCCTGATGGACCTGGCAGGTCGCTCAGACTGACCACGCCTCCCGTCGCCCGGTGTCTCTGGAGGAGGGTGTCCCAGGTGTGTGAAAGGAGGAACGCGCCATTATCATGGTTAATGCTGTCCGTGCCTCGTTTCCTGATTTCAATGGCCTCCTTGATCCAGCGTTTGAACTTGTTGTTTTCCGATCCAATGATCCGAGCCCCGTCCCAATCCATAATATGGTTGTTCCTTTTACACTGGTCTGATATGGCGGATTTTGTTTTTCCTGTTCTGCTTTGTCTTTTTGTGTTCTGGTGAGTCTCCCTGACGCTTCCTTTTCGCATTCCTTTTGGTGTTCCTTTTTTCGGATGTGAAATGCCCGGCCTGTTTCCCCTATGTATGATTTATTGCATGATTTGCATTGAATTTCGTAGATGGCATTGCATTTTTGTTCTTGTGGGATTTTGTCCTTGGGGTGTACGAGTTGTTGGCGGAGTTTTGTGTATGGTTTGTGTTGTGTTTTTTCATGGCTCTCTGGATGGGTTCGGTTATTCCTCTGATGTTCGGTAGTGTGACTATGTTCTTGTCCTCCTGCCCTGTGTTGGATTGTTGTGTTTTTTTTCGGGGTTTGTTGGTTTTATTGATAACTTGTTGTCTGCCTTTGTTTATGGTAGTTTAAGTATATAAGAAGACAAAATGAACATCATTGCCATACTTGTTAATTTTCATAAGTAATCTTGAATGGTTTATTACATCAAAAGCTTTTTGTAAGTCAATGAATATACTTACAAAATAATTACCATTGTCAATTTCAGTTGCTATTTTTTCAGTTATTTCTATTATTGCCATTGCTGTTGAATGCTCTGCCCTAAATCCATACTGATTATCATTCATTATGTTTTGTTTTTGCAAAAAACTATCAAGTCTTATTGAAAACACCTTCTCCAATATTTTTGAAAACTGTGGAAGCAGTGAAAAACTTAATATACCAGTTCACGTTCCCGTTAGGGGCACATTACATACATCACGACAAAATAACAAATTCCAACATTTGCAAGGTAAGACGGCTGATGAATAAGGCTAGGGCAGACCATACTTCATGTGAAAGCTCAGAACCTCCAGAATTCATTCCCTGAGCTGCAGAGGCTGCACTAGCCCTGACTCACGTTTGTCTGCACGTGCTGGGACCAATC